ATCAATATCAGAGAGAACTTGTGCAAGTTCTGGCCGAGTCTGATCAAAATGGGTAGAAGGTGGATTAATCAAAGGATTATTTATAGGTATTGAAGTGTCAATTTTAGAGAAGAGGGGGTTTTAGATGTTGATAAAAATACCGATTTAATAACAGAAATAAAAGACGAGTTACCTTTCTTCTTGGCAGCTTTGGGGGTTTTATGAGAAGTTCCTTCTCCATCAGCTTTCCTTTTTATTGATTTTCTAGGAGCGAATTCCAGAGGTTGTTGCCTTAAGTAAAGAATGTTAACATATGGAATCATACCATCACTCTTGCATGCTTCAAGATACTTGAGAACAATTTCTAGATATGAACCTGCTTGAGTGAAGAGAGGAAAATCCTCCAGAGGCACTCTTCGGGTGATGATGACTTTCTTGGTGGTGATTGTTGGATCCTTATTAATAGTTTCAATAATCTTCATATTCTTTAGATTCTAGGTGTTTATGGGCTTTCCAGCACAAGCTTCTAGAACACTTGCTTGTTGAGCCCCAGTCAGATGTTCTATCAGTATGTTTTCTATCAGAATATTTGAAATGAGTCTTCCCAAAGGAATCTGATCTCTCTTTGTTCTTTCTTCTTCTCTGGTTTCTTTTACACTCGTCTTCAGATGGTTGAACAGAAGATGTGGAAGATGAACTTTAGCTTTGGTGGCAATGAAGTAGAGAAGGTATTGTTGATCAATGTTGGTGTAGTCTAGTTAGCTGGTTGGTTTCCTGTGATTTATGCACCCCATAATTATTTTGGACCAAAATTTGAGATGATCCTCCAGATCTTTGATTTTGTTGGATGGTTGACATGAAGAAAATGTTTATTTTGAAACAATGGTTAGGTCAGAACCTTTTTCTTCCATATCACTGCATCTAATACCGCCACCGTCGTGACCTATGAGCTTCCCAATAAAATATTCAATGATAATGATCTTCTTTACCATAACATAGGATGTTACCTGATGATTTGAAGTTGTGGCATGGATCCAGAATTCTTTTACTAGTTTTGGAAAAACTGGACCTATGAGATAATCAAAGTATTTCCCAAATCCTTGGAACTCAACCTCAGGGGTTAAGTCATACTCATTTTCTTTCATACTAACAAAATCGATAATAAGCTCACAAAGAATTTCTAGAGAATCAATGGGTGTGAGAAGCATTCTTGATGGTTCGACGTGCCTTTCTTCATTTGAGGAGGAAGAACCATGAATTATTTGAGAAACTTGAGGAATTTGTTGATAGGAATACATTTGTTCACAGATTATTTTATGGTTTTTGAAAGATGAACAGATGAAGAGACAAAAAGTGAGTGAGAGTGAATATGTGATATTTTTTGTGAAATAGTGAAGTATAATTAGCCAACGAAAGAGAAAATAGGAGTTTTAATTTAACTGAAAAAGAATTAAAAAATTATTACATTCATTTAATGATTCCTAAAAAGAGGGATATCGTGAATATATGGAACTGTTATCGATTTGACTCGCACCTCAATGCATCAACTCAACCATTTCAGTCACTTCAGATTTTAAACATGTGTTTAGCCTTAGAGGGTGACCTTGCGTTTAGAGTTGACAAATGTTGGTATTGTGAACTTCTTGCTTCTATCTTAGAAATGAAACGTTTTTGGAGAACGTTCATATATTCTGGATAGTTCCTGATACAACTTTCCTTCTCACTTCTGAAGGACTATTGTTCAGATGTTTACAAAAGAAATTAAGGCATAAAGTTTTGAGGGTTAAATATACAGAAACCACCTTATCATTCTGGGCATAATTCCATACTGAGATGATTCAGAATTAAATTAAATCTATATTTAGAAAGGGGTTTAGTGAAGACGTCAACCCATTGATGGTCTATGTCTATAAATTTTAAAGAAAGAATTCCCTTCTGAATATAGTCCATAATAAAATGATTTTTATTTTCTATATGTTTAGCCCTAGAATATAAAATAGGATTTTTTGAAAAGACAAATAGAAGAAGTATTATTGCACGGGATATGAATGTTACTCTCTGTTGTACCCCTAAATTTGCGCTCCCATTTTTCATTCAAGATGTTCTACTAGGATTTCTCAAATACTCAAAATGGCTCAAGGTTTGATCAGACAGATTCTCTCCCTAGGCATTGAGTCAGCAAATAGGGTTTGGTACTTCTCAGGAAAATTTAAATTTCCAAGGTTTCAAATATTCTTCGTGGTTCTTCATGTATTCTCAAGGATGCTCATGCCAAGTTTCAAGCCTTTCATTGTGAGTTTGCTTAGTCAAAGGTTCAGATGTCTATAAATGAATTGCATTGACCCTAAAGTCGATCTTTTTAAGACCAAGTTCAAAAATTGTAACTTCTTCAATATTCAATATTTTTTTAGCCGTTATTTTTGCGTATGACTCTCCTTGAAGGAATCCTTGATTTTTATTTACAAGTTAAGAGCTAATTACGTGCGAAAGATCGTCAAAAAATTCGAATATTTTAGAGGTCATTTTGCAAATTTGACCTAATCACAAGAAGCTCTTGTCAAATTTGCGAGGTTCATAATTTCTTCAATTATGAGTGTCCTGAGGCGATTCTTTTTGTGAAGTATCACAAATAGCGTTGTCTATGAGAATTACTTCAAAGATCGGAGTAAAATTATGCTCAGAAGGTTTTGAAACTTATCAAAGCGTTATAAGTCAATTCCTGACTTTAAAAAGTCTGGCTTCTAATCCAATTCATGAAGGCATTATTGTTGTGGTGATTGGACGCAAAGCATGACATAAGACATGAGGCAAAGGATTCATTATGATCTAAATTTGGTTGTTCCCTTTTGTTTGGAAAAGCAAATTGGTTTGGAATTTGAGTTCAGTTTTAATTGAGTATTGAAGATTCATTCATTTAAAAGATCACTTGATTAAGGTTTAAAGCGTGCTAAGCTTAGAAGGAAGCTTCATTTATATGTCTTGAAATGTTGAGTTTCTTAGAGTTTAAAGCACCATTATATTTTCAAAGTTTCATTGTGTGTCACGCAAGTTCGATTAGAATGTTGAATTAAAATTCAAGAGGAAAGGAATTATAAGGATCTTTCAATCATTTGAAACATTAATTTTTGATACATGAACAAGTCTTGACCTAAACACGACTAAAAATTTACCCTTCAAAGTTCTCAAGTCCATCATCAAGTTTGTTCACATAGTAGGAAAAGTTTAATTCAAACTCGTCATTGGTCAAAAATTCATTCAAATTTCAATCTACAAAAGTTACAAGCAAGGATTTAGCAAGTTCAATAATTCGAATGTGCAATTAAGTTACAAACAATTTTATTCACTCAAAGTTTCATATTACTGCATCGATTTCAAAAGTTACAAGTTTGTTTTATCCTGGAGAATTTATCCTAAAGTTTTGGCAAATCCTACAAGGTTTCCTAAATCTTAATTTGTAAAGTTTTGATGCCTTCTTCAAGCTACCAAGTTTCTTCATGCCAAACTCCACCATTTCTCTTCAAGCCTATCCACGATTTCCTCTTACAAATCGTCTTGCCATTTTCCACACCGTCACATGAAACCAATCAAAGGAAGACAAGATTAACATATAAACAATGGAACATAAACAAGAAATTTCTAAGATTCATCATTAGGGTTTGTGTTGGGAATTAGAAAAAAAAGGTGTCTTAATCACATTCAAGCAACCCAGCCTCATAGTAAAATCAATATTTAATCATGGGCCTAAAATTATTGCAAATCACAAATTGACTTGGTTCACAATAGACAAATGCAAAATTCAAAACAGCAACATCATAAATCAATAATTTAAGCCCAACAAAAGCCTCAAAACATTGTCCTATCATTGGCCCAAAGAAATGTCTTCATTGCAAATCACAAAAATATATTTTTGGTTCACAAAGAAAAAAAATATTATTAAAAAGAAACCAAGCCTATATTGCTGTAAAGAGGGACAAACACAAGAGGCCAAAATGTTGTCAAAACAGGCTGTAGTAATATAGTCCAAAAAAAAGTATTGCTGCCTTGTAAAAAGTTATGCCAAGACATCCAGATATTACATCAGAATAGGCAATATAAAGGCTACATCGAAAAGTGAAGAAAAAGCATAACACAAGTGTTCAAACCCAATTTCTTTTCCCCCAAAAAAGTTTCATTCTCATACTGATATAAGAGAAACAAATATCATAACAAAGATCAGATCGATTTTATCCATCAAAAAAGAAAGAACAAAATTATTTTTTCCCCATCATTTTCTTAGGCCAAACCCTTCAGAAACAAAAACAGAAAATACAAAGAAAACAGAAAAAGAACTTCCCTGTACTCCATGCTCACTGCTATCATCATCACCGTTTCATTCCATCCGCTTACAACAATCTTCATATTCCATCAGCACGCTTAACCTCACAAACACAAAATATCAACACAACCTAATCCATTTCCTAAGTACAGTTATTCGTAGTAAGAATCTCCATTATATCTTCACCAGCATTCAACCTTCAACGCGCTGCACGAATCACCATTCTTCACCAATAATCTGCGACATTATTCGTAGTGTCATCATCAATAACAAAATTCACACTACAGCAACAACAACATCACACATATTTTGTTTCACATAGATAATCAGAATCAAAAGCATAATGAAAGTATAAATAAAGAAGAAGAGTTTGAACGAAATAAAGTGGGAAAGGGAAGTACCTGAATAGAAGTCGGTTCTGTTTTTAGCATCCTTGAAGCGCCCTTAGAGTGTCTCCGGTCAGTAAGTTTCGAACTCTCATTTCTCTTCCTCTCTGTACTTGTTTCTCATTGTCCCAATATAGAGATAGATGATTTGAATTCTGTGAATCCACAGTGTGTTTGAATTCTTCATTTTTGTGAATCCACCTTTCATTTGGTTTTGTTTATTGATCTCATGAGGGCGTTGAAGAATTTAGAGGAACTGAGATGGAGATATCAAGGAGAGTGAGGTGAAGATGGGGTGACAGTGGCGTGGTTCGAAGGTGATGATCGAAGGAGATATAGTAGCATCATTGAGCGATATCATGAATGAGATGGGTCGATTGAATGTAAATTCGAAGCAGAGATGTGAAGCAAGGTTGAAGCGAAGAGGTGAGATTGTTTGCGGCGGTTGGATGTTTGGTGGGATCATAGAAGAAGATGGTTACAGTGGAAGCTGCGGCGCAAGTGTGAGAGTAGGAGATGAACGTAGATATAGAAGACGATATGAGAGATAAGTTATGTTTGTTGTTTTTTTTCACAAGAGCATGGATGGGAATGAAAAGGTTTTAGGGTTTTGTTGTTGAGATAATACTTTAGATTTTTGATTTTGTTGGATGGTTGACCAGAAGAAAATATTTCTTTTGAGACAATGGTTAGGTCATAACCTTTTTCTTCCATATCACTACATCTAATACCGCAACCATCATGACCTATGAGCTTCCCAATAAAATATTCAATGATAATGATCTTCTTTACCATAACAGAGGATGTTACCTGATGATTTGAAGTTGTGGCATGGATCCAGAATTCTTTTACTAGTTTTGGAAAAACTGGACCTATGAGACAATCAAAGTATTTCCCAAATCCTTGAAACTCAACCTCAAGGGTTAAGTCATACGCATTTTCTTTCATACTAACAAAATCGATAATAAGCTCACAAAGAATTTCCAGAGAATCAATGGGTGTGAGAAGCATTCTTGATGGTTCGACGTGCCTTTCTTCATTTGAGGAGGAAGAACCATGAATTATTTGAGAAACTTGAGGAATTTGTTGATAGGAAGCCATTTGTTCACAAATTATTTTAGGGTTTTTGAAAGATGAACAATGAAGAGACAAAAAGTGAGTGAGAGTGAATATGTGATATTTTTTGTGAAAGAGTGAAGTATAATTAGCCAACGAAAGAGAAAATAAGAATTTTAATTTAACTGAAAAAGAATTAAAAAATTATTACATGCATTTAATGATTCCTAAAAAGAGGGATATCGTGAAGATATGGAACTGTTATCGATTTGACTCGCACCTCAATGCATCAACTCTACCGTTTCAATCACTTCAGATTTTGAACATGTGTTTAGCCTTAGAGGGTCACCTTGCGTTTAGAGTTGACAAATGTTGATATTGTGAACTGCTTGCTTCTATCTTAGAAATGAAATATTCTTGGAGAACATTCAGATCTTCTAGATAGTTCCTGATACAACTTTCCTTCTCACTTCTGAAGGACTATTGTTCAGATGTTTACAAAAAAAAATTAAGGCATAAAGTTCTGAGGGTTAGATATACAGAAACTACCTTATCATTCTGGGCATAATTCCATACTGAGATGATTCAGAATTAAATTAAATCTATCTTTAGAAAGGGGTTTAGTGGAGACGTCAACCCATTGATGGTCTATGTCTATAAATTTTAAAGAAAGAATTCCCTTATGAGTATAGTCCCTAATAAAATGATGTTTATTTTCTATATGTTTAGCCCTAGAATGTAAAATAGGATTTTTTGAAAGACAAATCGCAGAATTATTATTGCACGGGATATGAATGTTACTCTCTGTTGTACTCCTAAATTTTCCCTCCCATTTTTCATTCAAGATGTTCTCCTAGGATTTCTGAAATACTCAAAATGGCTCAAGGTTTGATCAAACAGATTCTCTTCCTAGGCATTGAGTCAGCAAATAGGGTTTGGTACTTCTCAGGAAAATTTAAGTTTCGAAGGCTTCAAATAGTCTTCATGGTTCTTCATGTATTCTCAAGGATGCTCATACCATGTTTCTAGCCTTGCATTGCGAGTTTGCTTAGTCAATGGTTCAGATGACTAAAAATGAACTGCATTAACCCAAAAGTCGATCTTTTTAAGACCAAGTTCAAAAAATTGTAACTTCTTCATTATTCGATATTTTTTAGTGGTTCTTTTTGCGTATGACTCTCCTTGACATCATCCCCAATTTTTCTTTACAAGTCCAGAGCTAATTATGTGCGAAAGATCGTCAAAAAAATTTGAATATTTTAGAGGTCATTTTGCAAATTTGACCTAATCACAAGAAGCTGTTGTCCAATTTGCGAGGTTCATAATTTCTTCAATTCTCAATGTCCTGGGGCAATTCTTTTTGTGAAGTATCACAAATAGTGTTGTATATGAGAATTACTTCAAAGATCGGAGTAAAATTGTGCTCAGAAGGTTTTGAAACTTATCAAAGCGTTATAAGTCAATTCCTGACTTTAAAAATCTGGCTTCTAATCTCAATTCATGAAGGAAATATTGTTGTGGTGATTGGACGCAAAGCATGACGCAAGACATGAGGCAAAGGATTCATTATGATCGAAACTTGGTTGTTCCCTTTTGTTTGCAAAAGCAAACTGGTTTGGAATTTGAGTTCAATTTTAATTGAGAATTGAAGATTCATTCATTTAAAAGATCACTTGATTAAGATTTAAAGCATGCTAAGCTTAGAAGGAAGCTTCATTTAGATGTTTTGAAATGTTGAGTTTCTTAGAGTTTAAAGCACCATCATCTTTTCAAAGTTTCATTGCGTGTCACGCAAGTTCGATTATAATGTTGAATTAAAATTCAAGAAGCAAGGAATTATAAGGATCTTTCAATCATTTGAAACTTTAATTTTTTATACATGGACAAGTCTTGACCTAAACACGATTTAAAGTTTACCCTTCAAAGTTCTCAAGTCCATCGTCAAGTTTGTTCACATAGTAGGCAAAGTTTGATTCAAACTCGTCATTGGTCAAAAATTCATTCAAATTTCAAGCTACAAAAGTTACAAGCTAGGATCTAGCAAGTTCAATTATTCGAATGTGAAATTAAGTTACAAACAATTTCATTCACTCAAATTTTCATATTACTACATCAATTTCAAAAGTTACAAGTTTGTTTTATCATGGAGAATATATCCTAAAGTTTTGGCAAATTCTTCAAGGTTTCATAAATATTAATTTGTTAAGTTTTGATTCCTTCTTCAAGCTACCAAGTTTCTTCATGCCAAGTTTCTTCATGCCAAGTTTCACCATTTCTCTTCAAGCCTATCCACGATTTCCTCTTACAAATCGTCTTGACATTTTCCACACTGTCACATGAAACAAATCAAAGGAAGACAAGATTAGCATATAAACAATGAAACATAAACAAGAAATTTCCTAGATTCATCATTAGGGTTTGCGTTGGGAATAAAAAAAAGTGTGTCTTAATCACATTCAAGCAACCCAACCTCATAGCAAAATCACAATTTAATCATGGGCCTAAAATTATTGCAAATCACAAATTGACTTGGTTCACAATAGACAAATGAAAAATTCAAAACAGCAACATCATAAATCAATACTTTAAGCCCAACAAAAGCCTCAAAACATTGTCCTATCATTGGCCCAAAGAAATGTCTTCATTGCAATTCACAAAAATATATTTTTGGTTCACAAAGAAAACAAATATTATTAAAAAGAAACCAAGCCTATATTGCTGTAAAGAGGGACAAACACAAGAGACCAAAATATTGTCAAAACAGGTTGCAGTAAAACACGCTTAACCTCACAAACACAATATCAACACAACCTAATCCATTTCTTAAGAACAGATATTCGTAGTACGAATCTCCATTCTATCTTCACCAGCATTCAACCTTCAATACGCTGCACGAATCACCATTCTTCACCAATAATTTGCGACAATATTCGTAGTGTTATCATCAATAACAAACTTCACGCTACAACAACAACAACATCGCACATATTTTGTTTCACACAGATAATCAGAATCGAAAGCAAAATTAAAGTAGAAATAAGGAATAATATTTTGAACAAAAGAAAGTGGGAAAGGGAAGTACCTGAATCGAAGTCAGTTTCATTTTTAGCATCCATGAAGCTCCCTCAGAGTGTTCTGATCAATAAGTTTCGAACTCTCATTTCTCTTCCTACCTGTACTTGTTTCTCGTTGTCCCAATATAGAGATTGATGATTTGTATTCTGTGAATCCATTGTGTGTTTGAATTCTGCATTTTTGTGAATCTACCTTTCATTTGGTTTTGTTTATCGATCTCATGAGGGAGTCTAAGAATTAAGTGGAACTGAGATGGAGATATCAAGGAGAGTAAGGTGAAGATGGGGTGACAGTGGCGTGGTTCCAAGGTGATGATCAGAGGAGATGTAGTCGCATCACTGAGCGAGATCATGAATGAGATGGGTCGATTGAACGCCAATTTGAAGCAGATACGTGAAGCAAGTTTGAAGCAGAGACGTGAAATTGTTCGCGGCAGCCGGATGTTTGGTGGGATCGGAGAAGAAGATAGTTACAGTGGAAGTTGCGGCGCAAGTGTGAGAGTAGAGATGAGCGTAGGATAAAGAAGAAGAGATGAGAGATAAGTTCTGTTTATTGTTGTTTTTTGCAAGCGCATGGATGGGAATGACAAGGTTTTAGGGTTTTTCCAACTTGTTGGCTTTTAGGGGCTGGACCTGGGTCTGACCCGACCTGATCTGTTTTCAAGCCCAGTACATTTTTTTGTGTGTTTATTTGCTTTCTCATTTTTTTTTGTTTACTAATACCCCGGCCCAAAAGGTTTATACTTTCTCTTAAGCCCATCAACAAAGTACCAACATCACCCCTAGTTTTCTATTTGTAATTTCTTTTACTATTTTTTAGGTTAGTTTAAATTTGCTTTAATAACTTGAGAGATTTTTTTAGTGTAGAGTTATTTTGATAATCGTAGTGTAGATTTAAATTAGCATATTATTTTTATTATTTTTTTACAAAAAGGTTTAGATTTTATTTAATAGTCTTAGAGTTAATATTTAATTTAGTAATTTTAGAATTAATTTAGTTTAGGTTTAATTTAGTTACTTAGAATTTTAAATTAATTTAGGATTATCTCAATAACTTTATTTAGTTTAGATCTAATTTTGTTAATATCTGGTTATAATTAAAAAAAATTTCAATTAAATAAAAGATATATAATTTCAAAATTAATTAATTAATTTAGGACTTTGTGAATAATTTTGTTAACATTTTTTATATAGTTTAATAAAATTTCTTTTAAATTATTTAGTTTCTACATAATAAGTAATAGAATAGAATTTTATTTTTTCTTTTTAAATTTTCTCAAAAACAAAATACCAAAATATTATTCTGCCAATTAATTTTACCTTAATAGTTTGTTTTAGTTTAATTAACTGTTTATTTTTATTTCGATTGGGTTGTATTGATTTCTTATTTAGACTTTTAAATCGCATTATCGATGATCCATCCCCATTTGTAAATTTGTACTCCCCATCCCCGAAAGCTCTTTAATAGCGTAGAATTTTAATTTCCACAATTTACTGGTTTTCTTTATACTGTATAGTAATTAGGCGTGTATGATAAGGCATAAAATCAAATGATAGATAATCATAAACTTCACAACAATTTAACTGAAAACAAATCACTTTGCACACGCGCACCTTTAGGGTAACCTCGCTTGTTGCCTTCGGAAAAATACAGTCATGTCCCTCGAATGTAGGACGCTTTAGCAAGGACCCTTCGATAAAAAGATCGTAGTCCCTCGATGTCGCTCGATGTTGCCTTCGGTAAACGATCTAGTCCCTTACGAAAATTACTAAAGCGTCTTACAAGTTGCTTTCTATGACTGTACGATTGACCCGCGCCTGTCCCTTCACATCCAATGATAGGGCTTCTTACCAAATCAATGGTAAGATAGCAATATCTAAAGGAGGAGGAAAATAAAAAAGACCTTTTGAGTAGGTAGGACGCTCGAAGTTGCTTGCTCACAATCTAAAACCATTTTTACACTTACACTTTCAAAACATCTTCAAATAACAAACATCTCTTTAAACTATTTTCAAAAAGTCAACACTTTGTATACATTCTTATAGAGGAGAGAATCATTACAAAGTTCACCTAAACAAAGACACTTTTCAAAAATACTTTAAAAACCAATCACAAACACATTTCAAACAAAGCATTTCAAAGTGATCAAGCAACTAAGAGCCCGTAGAAAACTACAGATGAAAAGGGCTCTAACACCTTCCCTTTTTATAATCTACCTCCCGAAATTAAGAAAATTATCGAAAGGTCTTTGATGTTCTATTAACCTTTTCCTTTATTGGATAAAAGAAAAGTCGGTGGCGACTTTTGCTATCCGTAACAATTGCGATAAAACAAAAAACACCCAAGCCAGTTCTCACACTGTATTACTGAACTGGAGACTCTACCGGGGAGTACTTAAAAGTGGGGTTACCTTAGTACTAGATCATATTTAATTGCTTTTATTGTTTGATTTGTTTGATTTGCATTTAGGGTCTTTATTTGGGCTTGTTTTGATCCTCTACCCGGATCGGGGAACATCATTAGGTAAATGATAAGAATTGTGGAGACTGTACGGTTTAGACCGACATGATTGAGAAAATAGCTATGTTAGTGTGACACATTTGTGGATACCGGTATCCCTTATGGAGAATTAAGGAGAATACGGGGCCGCTGTGTGGTGTCATGAAGCACTAACGAACCTTAGAATCTTTAATTGAACAACTTGGCCATTAGGAAGTAGTGAGGTAGCCGAATTTGGTGCAGTACGAAGTTGGTTGATACTCGATACTATGCTCATTGAGATCCGACTTTTGGGATATCTCTGTCACCAATAAAGAGGCTTGCGTTGAAACCATGCCCAATGAAGAAAGATCAATGATATTGAGATCCTCTAAAACCCGATTACTTTCTAGGACAGGTTGAACCAACTAAATTTCAAGAGGGTATTTACCAATGAAACCTCATGCAAGCATAAACCTAAGTACTTGTTTGCTTTGCTTGCGTATGTTTACTTGTACATTACATCATGACATCATACCTTTGCATTTGTACTAACCATTTCAAGGACTTTGGGATTTATCTTTGTGCTGTTTTATAGGACATGGCTTCCATGCAAAGAAATACCATCCGAATCAACCTTGTGAGAGTGCCTCCTCAACTCAAGGAATTAGCATCAAGGGTTCCCAATTATTCCCTGTTCACCAAGAAGTACGGTCGTCTCATCAACTTGGTTACAACAAACTTTGAAGAGGATATGGTACATGTTCTATTCCAATTCTTTGATCCTAAGCACCATTGCTTTACATTTCCTGATTACCAACTAGTGCCTACTATGGAATAATTTTCTCAACTCTTGGGAGTGCCCATTCTTGATCAATTACCCTTCACCGGTATTGAAAGAGACCCAAGACCTGAGGAGATTGCTCGAGCTTTACATTTGCAATGGTCCAACATTGTGACAAATTGGGAAATAAGAAGTGGTGTTAAAGGGTTTCCATCCAAGTTTCTGTTTGAGAAGGCTCAACAATTTTGGAAGGCTCTGGATTTGCAAGCTTTTGAAGAAGTAGTGGCTCTTCTAATCTATGGGATGGTATTGTTTCTGAACCTGGACCAACTCATAGATGTGAATGCAGTCAAAGTTTTTCTATCTCGTAACCAGGTGCCTACCTTGCTTGGAGATATCTTACATTCTCTTCACACTCGTACCATGAAGAGAAGGGGAATTCTTATGTGTTGCACTCCTTTGTTGGCTAGGTGGTTTATTTCGCACCTGCCTCGATCTGTTTTAAAGAATGAGCAAGGCATGAGATGGTCTAATAGGTTAATGTCACTCACGCATTCGATATTCATTGGTGTTCTCGATCTTTGGAGGATGTTATCATGATTGACCGCTGTGGGGAATTTCCTAATGTCCATATCCTTGGCATTAGGGGAGGAATCACCTATAACCCTTGTTTGGCTTTGCAATAATTTAGGTATGCTAGGAGGGATGGTCCTCATGATACACTTGTCCAAGGAATTACATTTGACTTTGAAAACATTGTTCAAGGTTACCATCAAAGATTTATACGACCTTGGGGCATGGTGAACAAGGTTGATAGAAACACTTTGGGGAATAAGAACTCCATTCCTTTAGAGCCTTATCTCAAGTGGGTGCGAGCTCGCGCTCAAAATCTCATGATGCCTTATGAGTCCATTCTGCCTACCATCATGGATCCTATTTCCGAGGGAGATGTTCCTTATACTATTCTTCATCCTGACATGACAACTACTCTCTAGGAGTTGCATAGATCATGGATTCAACTCAAAGGGGAGCGAGACACTTTTGAAACCCAGTTCTACGTAAGCGAGAAGAAGGTTTTGGAGCTCACGAGACAACTTCATGAAGAGCGGAGTTTGAATGCCTACATTGCACCAAAAAGGATGCGCTCATGGGAAGCTTGAGTCTTTTTTTTGGAGTTTATTTTGTATCATCTTTATTTATTCCATTGTAAGCCCGAGAGGCATTTTTATAACAGTTTGAACTTATTAATGAAATTAATGTTTGTTCTCTTTTTGTCTAAATAATTTTAAATCTTAAAAGTCCTTGAAATCATTTGCATACGCATTCCATGCATCATAACATAAGCAGGTTTTCAAGCACAGGTTTCCTCATCTTTCTACTGTTTATTTCAGTATGATGGTGTGATACGGTGGCAAAACTGGACTATTTTAGGAAAATGCTGGTTTGCGTTTTGTGTTTGCAAAATGTCGCGGTAAGCAAGAGTCGCCATCAACTTTTATTTTATCTAACTGGAAAGGAAAAAAAGCACAAAAAAAATCCTTTTTCGAGATTTTGAGTACGGGGGGTAGATTAATTATAGAAAGGGAAGGTGTTAGCACCCTTTCCATCCGTGGTTTTCCATGGGCTCTTAGGTACTTGCTCATCATTTAAAAATTGCTTCCGTGTTTGTGTGTTTTGAAAAGTTTTTATTTTACTTCGTTTTAACACTTGCTTCTGTCTTCAAGAGTGTTACGAAGTGTTTTTGAAAACTTTGTTTGAAAAGTGTTTGGTGTGAAAAAGTTTGATTTGAGAAAGTACCTACTAACATCTACCTACTAAAAAAAAGAATGTTTATGTTCTTGTTTCCTTTAGACAGCGCTATCCCACTATTAATGAGTAGGTAGCACCGTCGTTGGAGTTGTAAGGGTCAATTCGAAAGGGACGTACGATCACTAAAGCAACGTTAGGACGTCTTAGTAATAACCCTAATGTCTTAAGATCATATTCGAGGCAACATTTCCGAGGCAACCTTTCCGAGGTAACATTTCCGAGGCAACCTTTCCGAGGTAACATTTCCGAACGGGACGTTTGATCTTTGTTTAGACAAGAGAACAACCACTAAAATACCCTATGCTTAATGATTGTTTACCGAAGGCAACCAAAGTGAGAGTATACCCTATGAGTGCACATGTGCGAGTGATTTGATTTCAGTTATTATCTTTGCACATTTAGGGTTTGCTAACCATTTTAAAATTAACATACATTCTTGTCACACAATCC